GGAAACCACTCGATGTTTTTCAGATCTGCACTGTCCTTTCCTGAAAATATCTTGAATATTTGTCAAGCAGGTAATAACTTCTGTTTTCTGTTCATCTTTAGCAGAAAATAGTCACCATCTATTTTTTAGCAGGTGAATTTGATGTAAACAGTTTAGAATCAAATTTACTAAGCATAAGGCAAAGAAGGCTTGCTAAAGAAGATTTAACCTGAGTTCTGCCAAAGTAAGTAACATTAATTGACTGTTTATCAGAGTATGACAAGTACTGTACGTGCATAGGGTTAATATCTAGATTTTATTGCTCTTATGTTTCCACAGTGCTTACAGCAGCACACAGATATCTTGCCAGTTGTTTTTTTTAGAGATCTGTAAGAGTTCTCACACAGGTAGGGAAAAACAAGATGATAACAAATCCAATAGTTACAAAATCAAAGTTCAGATGGAGGCAAAACAGACCAGCTAAAGTAGGGTTACTAGGGTGGGAAGAAAACTGAATAAAAGAGGCTTTGGCCATTGTTTTTATACATTAAGCTTGTTCTCAAATTACACCAGTTGCTTAAATTCTTCATTTATGGATTCCTAATATCCTTACTTACCTATAGAATAGAATCTATAGAATTCTTGAGTGCTTGTCTTAGGTAGTTCATTCCTGCCCATAGGATGATGCCAACATATCCTTATGATGAAGCTTCTGCCTTAATCTGCTGATATAAGGAAGGTACAAGGCATCTGGGGGAAAGTGTCTATCTATATTTTCAAAAACATCTGATCAAAATTAGCATTCCTATGATAAGAGAAAAAGAAACAGATCAGCTCTCACAAAGGGAATGTTCCCCAAGAATTTGTGTTGGGGCTGATGCTTTTTAATTTGTTCATAAATGATTTGGAAATAATTTACTCCCCATAACCAAAGGGACCCTAATCATAACCCTCCTGGTAGCTATAACATACTCTAGAAGATTCATTTTCAGATCATTTTCCCATCTGTTACTCCCAGAGTAACCCAGTCATTCCTGAGACAATGTAAATCCTATTATCTACTCAGGAGTGTTTGACTATCTCTAGAAGTTGCTAGGATGCACCAATGAGGACATTGGCAGGACATTGAAAAACATACATTGCCCATAATTGCTTTCTGAAAGTACAGATAGAAAAAACCTGGCCTGCTGATTCTTTTGGGCTCCTGTCAAATCTCCTGGAAGTCAAGCCAATGTATTTATTCTGTACTAGAGTACCATCAACAACTTTTCTTCAAGCTGCAGAGCCAAACCATCACAGAATGGACAGCCACCTCTTCAGCACAAGGATGGGGGCAGCTGTCTTACCTAGGAAGGGGGCACTCCCAAGTGTAGTGGCTTTAACTTGCTGTGATTGCTTCATATTCCAAGAAGTGGAAAAAGGGTGAGGTGGAGCCACAAGCACCCTGCCCTTGGTAGTGGCCTCTGTGCAGGTCATGAGATTTCAGCTATATATTTCTTATGTTTAAGAAACTCAGTCCCACATTCAGGACAAGGAAACAGTAGAAACAAGAAGAACTTGGTATTGATTGATGGACTGTTTTATGGTCAACAAGGAGAAAAAAGGCATACATATGTAAAAGTTTGGCCTACTGTAGAAATCAAGCCAAAATCAAGCTCTCTTTCTTTGCAAGATTTAAAGATTAAGCCTTTTCCTCCTGTTTTTCAGGGTCAACTGACTTTGGGCAATTCTTTCCACAGGCTCAAGACTGAACAGACTTCCTCCTTGATTTCATAACATCTCTGTCTGGCGAAATTAATGCTGATTCTCACCTTGCAAGTGTCCACTGTTATCCCAGTGCTGCTTAGGGTCTCTCACCCTTTGGCCTCTTGGGAAGCCAGCACAATCTTTCCATGAAGCAAAGCGACAGGAATGGACCAGTAGTCCTACTGGCACCTTCTCCACAGATGACCATTTCTTTTCTCACCCCTCTTCTTGGCTTCAGAGTTATGGAAATGGCCATCCTAGGAGAAAATGCCAGCAGGACCACTGAAACATTCCTGTTACTCTGCTTCATTTATTTATTTATGAGACTTATATACCGCTTTAAGTGCAAGCACTCTCTAAGTGGTGTACACCAGTAAGCAATGTATATATGTATTTACATTGCCCCCAACAATCTGGGTCCTCATTTTACCTACCCCGGAAGGATGGAAGGCTGAGTCAACCTTGAGCCGGTGAGATTTGAACCGCTGACCTGCTGAACACAGTCAGCTAAAGTGGCCTGCAGTACTGCAGTACTGCACTCTAACTGCTGCGCCACCTCGGAATCCTTGCACTGGGGGTGTTGGTCTGAGAGGGCATGTGATAATTTTGCTGATAGTACAAATAAACTCTAGGCTAGCTGGTGGCTGCTGCTGCCCCCTGTAGGACCTCCTGGCCAACATGAAACTGGAGGAATGGCAGAAGGCTCATCCCTTCTGAGAGTGCTTCAGATGCCAGCTCTTCCTCCACAAAGGTGCATTATTCTGCTGAGGAGTTGGCCTCTCAGAAAAGGCCTGTGGCTGAAGTCAACAGAGGCCTCCGGTGTCTATTTGCTTAACTCACTGGGGCTTCAAGGCCATAGAGGGGAAGAGGCCATAGAGGCTGTGCAAGTGGATAGTAATAGAAAAGCACATGTCAAATGCCAGTGATGAAATTAGTCAATATTGACTTTGGCTTCAAAGACAGATTTGGTGTAGGAGGAGACAGAGATGGAAGGGGCTTTCACCTGTCTGCACTCCCTCCTTTCCTGTGCTATGGAGAGTCTTCTGCTCTCCTGCTCCTCCTACTCAAGGCACTGGGTGGGTGGCTGTAACTGCTGATGGACACAAATAAGATTTCTATAGCTTGATGGATGGCCAAGAATGGGCATGGGGGAGGCATTAAAGCAGCTAGGGAGGAATGAAATCTACTTATTAGGAAAGCAAGGAGAAAAAATAGATAATACCTTGTTAGGTATTGGGGAAGGCTGATACTTTGTTCCTTTGCCTGACCTATGAAGTATTTCAGTTAAGTCCAGCCACTTTTGGATCTGAAATCTTCCTGGGGTCTCTTTTTCCTTGCTGATCTGGGGCTGAGAAAGAGCAGGGAGAGGGGAATCAGAATCATCTTGATTGAAGGTGGAACATGCAGGGGCTGTTCTGATGAGTGAAGACCTGACACAGAAGGATTGTCCAAAACAGGGTAGGGATGCTTCCAGAAACCCCCACATATTGAATAGAATAGAGCTGGAAGAGACCTTGGAGATCTTCTAGTCCAGCCCCCTGCTCAAGCAGGAGAACCTATACCATCTCAGACAAGTGATTGTCTAGCCTCTTCTTAAAAATCTCCAGTGATGGAGCACTCACAATTTCTGGAGGCAAGCTGTTCCACTGGTTAATTGTCATCACTGTCCTTAATTCCAGGTTGTTTCTTTGATCAGTTCCCAACCATTGTTTCTTGTCCTGCCCTCTGGTGCTTTGCAGAATGATGGGCTTTGTAATTATTTAATAAGCAGATGGTGTGGTTCAAAGGAAGGCTGAATCAGGTGGAGACAAGGATTTTGTCTGTTGCAATCTCCACTTATTTCATTCCTCCTACCCCTATCACGTTGGGCCTGTGGATACAGTACAACTATCACATCAAGGCAGTTCCTCGGTTCCTTCATCTCAAAGGTAAAGCAAAGGAGCTAGGCTTTGGGGCAACGTACATGTGTGGGATGCAGTTGAAGCAAGAGAGCAGAGGGCTATGAAGAGGTTGGAGAGCCCGTCGTCTATGTTCCTGCCACTGCTTGACACATAAATACTTGCAGAAGCAGCACCAGAAACATGTGAATAATCTCCTGTGCATGTTGGAAGAATGAGCAAAGATGACTGCATCAAAGATGACTGCCTTGCTGTCCCCTCTGTTAAGCAGATTCAAGCCTGAGCTGTTTTTTGGATGAAATTGTGGAACAATCCTGGGTTGCCCATCTGGGGGAGGAGCATGGCTGCCTGTGAGGGTTGCATGACCTTGTCTGCTGGAATCTGAAATTCTGGAGGGAGACCTCCACAAGACTTGAGAAGGACAGAGAAATAGACAACTGTCCTTGGAGGTTGGTGGAGCACTGACCAGGATCTGGCAGAGGACAGGTACTAATGGGGCAGCCCTCCACCTTTGCTTTCTTTTCTTTGTTCTTCAGTGTTGGACTGGCTGAAGTCCTGGAGACTCTGGCACATAAATATTTATCCTCAGTGTCCACCAAGATTCACAAAAGAAGGTACTTTAGAGGAAGGTAGCCAGAGTCCTACTCTTGTCTGTCAATACAGCTGCCATCTTTACAAAATGCCAGGATTCAGAGACGGATCAAACTCAGCCACTGATTTCTTGTGGTTTTCATCTGCTCCACAGAAAGCAAATTCTGGAGAAATATGAAATCTCTTTCCCCTTTAGATATTAGTGATGGTTGATAAAGTGGGTAACTGATGCTTGGAGGAGAGGGCAGATATGTTGACAGTGTGTGGTTCCTTCCCATTCCCAGCTGGTGCTTAGAGCATTTGGGATCAATTATTGTGTTTTGCAACGTGGAGCTGATGAGGTGGGCCTCATGGATTGCATCAGGCTGCCTTAAATGCCAGGCAAAGCCTTAGACCATGCCTGAAGTTAACTCTTTGGGTTTCACTCTTATTATCACATCATGTAGTCTCTTTGGTTAGATTCTGAAGGTGTCCACTCTTCCACCCATGGGAGTTCAGTTGGGCTGGTAGCTTTTCCTGACCTTGAGAGCAGATGGATCTCAGGTGCCAGGCAAGCCAAGAAGAATTCTACCCAGATTGGATGGTTGGCTCTGGAAGGGGAGCAATGTGGTTCCACCAGACAGTTTTGGCCCTTGTCTGAAAGAGTTAATGTGCAGCCTTTGTTTGTTCCAGATGTTTGGAGCCAGATGGAGTCAGAGTTGGGGGTGTCCCTGGGTGGGAAGTACAGCCCTCCACATCAGCCAATAGCTGGAGGACTCCAGGCTGACACCCTGTTCTCGATTCTAGGTGGCTGCAGGCTTGCCATGCATAAAAGGACTTGTGTTCTAGCACTCTGGCTCTGCTTTTGGTTCAACCACATTGGAAGCTTCTCAGCTCATCTTCACCATCACACTGAGCTGCAGCCACATCTTTGGGTGTTTCAGGTAAGTCACCAACATCTGGGGTTCCTGAACCAAGAAGCTCTACAAGTAACAATAGAGGAGAATCTTTGTAGCTCAGGGTTGAAATGAGGGGTCCTTACTGCTCTTTGATTTTGGTTGTTTTCTTGTAGAAGTTTCATTAGCCAAACTAGGTAACATCATCAGTGCTAGCATTGAAAAGAAACAGGTTCAAAGACACCAACAACCCCACTACAAGTAAGTTTAATCAAGGGTCATTTCAAACTTTGTGCAGCATTTGGTGCTCTCTGAACTCTTCCTAACCAGAACGCCCTCTCTGGTGAAGACTCTAGGGGATGACCTGGCCTTGTACAGGCACAGTGCCTGAGAACCCCAAAAGGAGAATAAATAAACCAGAGGACAATGCCAAGACCAGGGAACCGACCTACAGTTTCCCTTTTGACTGGCAGCTCCAAATGGAGTACAACCTGAGAATACTGGATGATTTAATAGGCCATAATTACTCTTTGGGTAATCATTTCCTCAGACAAACTTTGTTATGAATGCCAATATTCAATTCAGATGTGGCTTCTTGTAACTCATGTCCATTATTCTGTGTCTTGTCCTCTGGAACAAGAGAGAAAAGGTCTTGACCTTCTCCTGCATTCATTCTTTTGTAAATTGAGGAGGGGGGAGTTCCTATTTTGCTCCTCCCCATCTTGTCTCCAGGTTAAACATATTTAGGTCCTTTAGATCCTGTTTTTCTGTTCCCCTGGTCACTCTTTTGTCCTCAGATCTGGTTTCAATTTCTCTGAAATCTTGCATTGCAACCGGGACTGAAGGTAGGGCATGACTAACGCAACATGAAGTGGAACAATTCCTTCTGACACTTTGAAAACTATAGAATGCAACATAAAACGTTTTTGCACACAACTGATACATAAGAATATAGGAAATGTTCTGTGTTATTTATATCTGGATATTGTGCGACGTTATTCTAATAGATAGAAGAACAAATTGGTTTAGGTGCTTTATCAGATTTTTTGTAATGGGTTTTCATCTCCTGGATTTGGGAGGGGAGCAGCTGGATTTATTGCTTTCAGAATGTGAACTTGGATTATCCTGTGCACAAAGGCACAGTTTTTCACAGGCCAGAGTTCATACTCCCAGAGTGAGTGAGGAGGGGAAGGAGCAGGAGAGGTTCAAGGATAGCTCTATTGTGCTGCAACACTTTTCTCTCCCTGGTTGTGCTGTGGCTGCTAAACTGGTACAGGACATAAGAGGGAGCCTACTAGCATCACCCCAGGCAGCCGTTTACTACCCCCCCCCCCGCGCCTCTGCTGCTGGGATTGATTGCCTGGTGGGTTTCAATAGCTAATGGCAGGCAAAGGGACAGCTTTGGAGTTGGCATCAGCCTTGTTCTGTGTCCCCTGTAGGTTCTCCCCTCCCGAGATGGACTCCTGCCTGATCCAGGTGAACAGCAACACCTCCCTGCCCTCCATCCTAGATGTCCATGTCAACCTTAATGGGAAAAGCCCTTCTTTGCCCAAGGGAAAAGGCCGCAAGCCCCACTGGGCGGTCAAGGCTTCAGAAATGTCTAGAAGGACTTTCAATCCCATTCGAGCCATTGTGGATGCCATGAAAGTGGAACCCAACCCCAGAAAAGCTCTGATATCTTTGTCCATAGGTGAGTAGGTTGATTAGGCTAGTCCAGAAAGACTCTGACCCTAACCCTTTTTGATACTGTCCAGCCACTGACAACCTAGGCATCCTCACCCTCTATTTTTCTACAGGAGATCCAACTGTCTTTGGAAACCTTCCTACAGATGATGAAGTCACACAGGCCATGAAAGAAGCACTGGACTCTGGAAAATACAATGGCTATGCCCCATCTGTGGGTAAGTTTCTGGGCTCTATGGAAAAACCCAAGGTGAGGCAGTGGGAGCACTAACAGACAGTGGCCTTGAGGTCCCACAGAAATTATTTTTGACCCTGATAAGGAACTTGGTCAAAGGGGAGGGCGTCTGCTATGTGAGCTGAAAGTCCCAGATTATTTTATTAATTTGTGGGAATCCTTAGCAAAAGGATGGGGGAGGGCACTAAATAGCATCCTGTGCAGGCTTCTAAGACTATAATTCAGGAAGTTCTCATTTTAGAAGTCTTTTTAATTCAGCCATAGCACTGAACACTCAGTTCACCCCACCTCCCACCTATCACAGGTTACCTATCTTGTCGAGAGGTGGTTGCAAGCTACTACAATTATCCAGAAGCACCTCTGAAAGCCCAGGTAACAATACATAATATGTTGAGAAAGAGTAAGAACATTTTTGGGGAGAGGGGCTTGGGTTTTGGCTCCCCACCTAATTTCAAGTGTGTAATAATCATTTAAGTTTCCTATGGCTCTGATCTTTATGTGGGTCTGTTGAACTGAAAGTTATGAAATGCCCATTTGACTAACAGTGACTTTCTTCCTTCCTTCCTTCCTTCCTTCCTTCCTTCCTTCCTTCCTTCCTTCCTCCCTCCCTCCCTCCCTCCCTCCCTCCCTCCCTCCTTCCCTCCCTCCCAGGATGTAATCCTGACCAGTGGCTGCAGTCAAGCCATTGAATTAGCTTTAGCAGTCCTGGCTAACCCTGGACAGAACATCCTGGTGCCACGCCCTGGCTTCTCCCTCTACAAAACCTTGGCTCACTCTATGGGAATCGAAGTCAAGTTCTACAATCTCTTGGTAAGCTGGACCTAGGTGTGGGAACTCTTACCCTAACCTCCCAAAAATGAAACAGAATCAAGGTTCAAGGCTTGGAGAGCTGGGCTTTGATGGAGGAGTCCCAAAGAGAGCTGGAACAATTGCAATATTAATAGTCAAAACCAAAGCCACATTTAGGGTGTGCAAAAGAATAGCTAGAAACTCCTATGATAGCATATTGGGTGCACCAAATAAATTGTTGGAGAAGAGAGAGGCTTTGCAAGATTTAGAAACAAGCTCTCTCTGCTCAAATTCCTTTTTTTGCGCAATTCCCAGAGAAAGAGGCAAGTTAGGAATAACTATGATCAAGAACAACCATTACCTTACCTTAGATCAAACATTGTCTGTTCCTGGATGTGTGATCATTCTAACGTTTATAACCAATATGTTAAATTGCTTGCTTGGAAACTTTTGTCTTCTCCTCCAACATCTTGCAGCTACTGATCAACAAAACTTCATAACACTCTTCAGCTCTTGATTGTATGAGCTGTAAATTGGGACCAAGAAAGCAAGCTTTTCTTATACAGCACCACGTTTCTTTGGCTGGCCACCAGTCCCTCTTGCCCTCCCCTTTACCTACCCATCACTTCTGACCCAGGCAGGGAGCAAAGACCCCATAGCCAGAGTGAAGATGGCTATTTGATTTCAGGCTTCCCCACTCTCTCTTCATCCTCCTTTCCATTTTGCCATCAGCCAGAAAAGTCCTGGGAAATTGACCTGAAGCAAATGGAATCTCTGGTGGACAACAGAACAGCTTGCCTGATTGTGAACAACCCATCCAATCCCTGTGGTTCTGTTTTCAGTAGAAGTCACCTCCAGAAGATTCTGGCAGGTATTTCTTCTGACCAGCTTTGAAGCTGCCTCATGCATGTGTCCCTGTGCTAAACTCTATGCTGCTTGGCATGGAGAAGGAGTCACAAGAGGCTCCAGGCTATGGAGCCCATCCAGGTTATGGACACTTGGTGACCTGCTGAATGTCTCCCTTCCTTCCTTCCTTCTGTTGCTCAGTGGCCTCCAGGCAGTGTGTCCCCATTTTGGCTGATGAGATCTATGCAGAAATGGTGAGTGAGGAACAGCTTTCATCTGTGTAGAGGAATGGAAAAATGGCTGGGAGGGGAGCAGAGGGCTGGTTTTGCTGGAATAACACAAAGCTTAGAGACAATGGTAGAGGTGGCCTTTAAGAGAAGCCTGCTTTTGTGTCAGAGGCTGAGTATGGAATGCCATTTTCAGAGTTTTGAGGAGCCACTAAATGGGATTCCTCCAACTCATCCACATTCAGGTGTTTGAAGACTGCAAATACGAGTCCCTTGCAAAGCTCAGCACTAATGTCCCGATCCTGACCTGTGGAGGCCTTGCCAAGCGGTGGTTGGTGCCTGGCTGGAGGATGGGATGGATTCTGATCCATGACCGCCGGGACATCTTTGGAGAGGAGGTAGAGAAATACATACTTGGCTGCTGGGTTGCCCGGGTCTGTTCCAATTGGGAGGAGGAAGAGCTGGCCCTCTTGGTTCAATTCCAAGAGAAAAGCAAAGCCCATTCAGGTGATCTCAGACCCAACCATTCCCTGCTTTATGCCTTGCTGCCCCTCTTCATGCTGGGCAAGAGAGCCATGAAAGGCCTGGTGGATGGGAGGCTGACCTATAGGCAGGAATCTGATACTTCCCTCCCCCTCCTTTCTCTGTGTGCCTTAAAGATCAGGGAAGGCCTTCTGAGGCTGAGCCAAAGGATTTTGGGGCCCTGCACAGCTGTCCAGGGAGCCCTTGGGCATATCTTCCACCACACATCCCCTGAATTTTATCACAACACTCTCAGCTTCCTCAAGGTAGGCCTCAACTGTTTCTAAGAACGCATTGCAATAGAGTTGCTTATACCCTCAGAAAGAAGCCAAGACAGACTCAGTTCCCACTAGGCTGAATGGGTCAGTTGTGATGAGGAGGTTAATAAACTCGGTCTCAAGGGCAGTAAATTTAATCCCAAACAGGTCCAGTCAAGTGCACCCACTCATTTTTGTTGTGGGAACACATACACCTGATCAGTTGACCTGTTTTCCAGCTTTTGTTCTCCAAGAAAAGGAGCAAGACAAAGAAAAAGGAGAAGCCAAGCTCCCACATTCAGAACTTGCTGCCAATACCTGCAGCAGAGCATGCTTCTGAAACATGGGTGCAGCAATTTTTTACTTTTTTTATTGAAATAAAAAAGACAGTGAAAGCCAAGTCAGTCTCATGATCGTACAACTCCTGTCTCACTGCCCTGAACTCGGCAGTGATTCCTTTCTGCCCTGCAGGTGACCTACTATGGAAGATGAGCAGCGGTCTTCTCTCCAATGTGCTTTGCTATTTCTTTCTGTAATATTAGCTCTAAGGTTTAAAAATGGGACATTAATATATTTCTGCAAAGACACTGAAGGGAGAACATATTTTGTTTTCTTGTTCACCAGTTTGAAAGCAAACTGCTACCAAAGTGGTTTCAAGAAAAGACAATATCTACTGTTTTTATTCCTTTAATTGGGAAATCTGGATACTAGAACACTTTCTGCTACTAGAAAAGATAAGAGTCAAAAGGGGTTTCAAAAGTGAGAAGCACAGTGTCTGCAGCTCTGTGGGGACATGAAGGGCTGGGTGAAAGATGGGAAAACGGGCTGTGGAAAGAGACCAGAGGCCTTGCTTTCACTCTCCTTCACATCCTAACACAACTGAGCAGGATGTGCTTACATTACATTTGTTGCAAGCAAAGATTCTATATTTCACCTTTCTGGCAGTCCAGCTAGTTTTTGAGGTAAGGCATGTTTAATCCGTCATTGTTCTCTTTGGTGGGCCTGCCCAATTGTTTGAGTGAGGAGGACCAAGATTTCCTTGCCGGCAATTTGACTTCCTTCCTCCCGATTTGCTCTTTCTAGTCCAATGCTGCCCTGTGCTATGCTGCCCTCTCCACGGTCTGTGGACTGAAGCCGATCCGGCCTCAGGGAGCCATGTATTTGATGGTGAGCTACCTGCCTGGAGGGGGTGAAGGAAGGGCTGTTGGAGTGGGAGGCGCTTTCTTTCCTTCCCCGAAGACACCCCAGCCAGGGCTGTTCCTTGGGGGAGAAGGGAGGGTCTTTGGCTATGACCGGTTTTCTACCCCTACGGCTCTAGGTGGGGATTGAGATGGAACATTTCCCAGATTTTGAGAACGATGTGGAGTTCACAGAGAGGCTAATTGCGGAGCAGTCGGTCTTCTGTCTGCCTGCCACGGTGAGCTTGTTTCTCCATGGGAAGACACTGAATGCCGGGATAGCTAGTTCTCCTGATGGAAACTCTCAGCCTGGCTTCAGCTCTCCTCTCAGCTGTTTCTCTTTCCCCTAGTTCTTATTTTTGCTGAAAATGGGCCCAGCTCCACATTCCTGGAGGCTGGTATGAAAGGTGCTGCAATATCTTATTCTGGCTAAATAGTCGGCTGGAGACCGCCATGTTCCTTGCTGCACCATCCAAGGGATTTTCATATTAGAAATAAATGGGTTGGAATCCTTCCCTCTGCAGCTATATCTGTGGCTTGTCATCCTGATAGCCACCTTGGAGGCTATGGGAGATGAAACAGGAACAAGCTTTTCTTTAAAAACAGAAGAAAAACTGTATCTGGCCTTGAACATGGGATCAAGGGGGAATAGGTACAGTGGGATTTGTAAGAAAATAAAATAGCTGTTTCTACTGGCTACCCTCCTGTCTCAGCTTTCCATTAAAAGGCCCAGTGGTAGCAGCAACGGGACTGATTTGCATGGTATTAACCCCAGTGCTCTGCTTGGGGAACTGGGAAGACCCAAGGGAGTACACTGGCTAATGGCTCAGCTGTCTCTCCCGGCAGTGTTTTGAGTACCCTAACTTCTTCCGCGTGGTGATCACCGTGCCCGAGGAGATGATGGTGGAAGCTTGCCAGCGTATCCGCTACTTCTGTGAGAAGCACTATCAAGGGGGAGAGGGGACCCAGGATCTGGAATGTGACAAGTAGGCCTGAGCACGTGCACCTGATCTTCTACTCCGTCTGCTCGGTTAGTTCCCTGAGCAGCTGACTCAGCACCATCATTCTTGTTCTGGACTCTGAACCGCTAGGGCCTGGCTAGAAATATGCTGTCAGTGACACTCCTTCCTGCCCAGCGGGCTCAAGGAACTTCAGCAGCAGCCTTGGGCATGCTTGACAGCTTTCAGTCACCCACTGAATGATTTCTAGAGCCTACAGGAAGCTGTGAGAAAGAACCTGCATGCCCGCTGGAAGCCAGAGCAGAAAATGCCCAACTCTTCCACAGGCACAGAACATACCCCTGTGCTACACAGACCTAAAAAAACCCTCATGTCTCCCCCACCACAGAGTGCACCTGCAATCTGTTTTCTTGTACACACATTTGAAGTTCATAAGTTATTGTATTTTTTGTATGAATAAATGCATGGTAAATGTCTGACTGTGTGCAAAAACTATGCAAACTCATCTTGCAAAAGGAAAAATGTGTTACTTGGGTGTAAAGATGCTAAGGCATGACTTGAACAGAGATTTGAAGCTGCTGCAGAGCTGCATGTCATAGCTTGAGACAGCTTGAGAGTCTCTGTGTGTGTATTGGTTTTTATATACTTTTTACATACATAGGCTTTTACATTAAATGCTGACATTTTACATTCATAAGTTTAACCTTTAGATGTTGACATAAAGTTTCTTCATTGGAAAATTCCTTCACTATTTTCTAGTAACATATTACCTGTTCAGAGACCAGGTAAAAACAAATACAGGTAGATCAAAAGGAGAAAGAACTGACAAAGACAGGAAGAGATAAGGGGGAACTTAAACATATTATTTATTTAGGTAGGTAAGGTATTAAGTCAAAAGGGGGTGACCTTCTGGCTGCTTCATTAGGACAAAGGGTATCAAAAGGTTATGAGGTTTGTGGGGGGGAAAGCATGGCAGTTTGCTGCGCGTGCAGTTTTCCCCACACTTGGGCGCAGTGCTTTTTTTCTTAAAAAAAAAAAAAGGTGCCGAACTCACACATGCCATACAACCCGCCTTGCCTACCCTACAAGGTTCCATCCAAAAAAAGGTGCTGGAACTCTGTTCTGGGCGTTCTATGAGAAAAAAAGCCCTGCTTGGGCCAAGGGGAAGGTGGCACAATTCTTGCCAGTTTCACTTGATCAAAGCACTCAAGGACAGATCCATCCATTCGTGGTTCTCTCTATTGACTTATTAAACCAAAAGTCAGCTCTTGCCATTCCACTGGCAAACTCAAAAAAAGCAAAGGGCGGGGGGGGGGGGCTGGAGGGTAACTCCCAGGGACAAGAGGAAAGTGACTGTTGCTGCTTCAGTGCACAGTAACTAATTAGAGAGATGTTGGTCTGGAAGGAAATGGGGAGCTGGAAGCCACTGGGGCAAACTTGCTTGAACTGTCAGGAGCACAGCAAAGATGCGTAAATTGGGGAAGGGTGTCTTCCTGGTGAGTTGCGTGTGGATAGAGAACATCATTTTGGCCCCTTCTGGGACTGGAATTGGGTTGTGCAGATTGATCCTAAGTCACTCATCTTCATTTAGCCTGGCAATGTACCCCATTCCAATCCCGCTGATATTGGAAAAAATACCTATGTTGACTTAGAAAAAATATTTCTCCATATGCTGCAAAAGTTGCTTTGAATAGGGTCAGCAGCTTGAATTTTATAAAAGAGCCACTAAGAAGATTGCTGTAAAAATCTTCTAATATGCAAGCTAAAAATAAAAAATTATAATATGATCATAAACATTTTGAACATTCAATCATTATTCTCATCTTTCCTATCTCTGAACAATAGCAAGATGCCACTTTCTGCTATTGTTGTCAGAGTGCTGGATTGCTTATCTCTGGATAGCTACCAGATGACCTAGCCTTTCCAAGCTGCTGCCCTGTTTACTTCTCCCATCAGGATTTCCTGGAGGTTTTTTTTTCTGGAATGTTTTCCAACAGTGCATAGCTGGATCAGACCATTTTTGGCACCTCCTGCAAACCAAATTTGTCCATGTTATGATCAATTTCTGGAGAGTTAACCATGCTGATCGTCAGGCATTGGGGAACTCTTTACATTACTTGTTTCCAAATTCTGCTAGGACAAGTAAATGAAGCCAGCTGGTCCTGGTGTCAGCTTTGGGCCTTGCTGAAGTATTAAGGACTTGCAGGGAACTTTAAGAGAGAGATAGAACCAAGATTACATGAAGTGTTAGTACCACTTTATAATGCCTTGATAAAACCACACTTGGAATATTGCATACAGTTTTCGTCGCTATGTTATAAAAAGGATGCTGAAACTAAAAATGCAGAGAAGAGCAACAAAGATGATTAGAACTGGACTGGGCTAAACCATACGAAAAACATTGCAGGAATTGGGTTTGTCTAATCTAGTCAAAAGAAGGACCAGGGTGATATGATAGCAGTCTTCCATGACTTCAGGGGCTGTCACAAAGAAAAGGGAGTCAAACTATTCTCCAAGGCAGGACAAGAAGCAACAGATGGAAACTAATCAAGAATAGAACTAACCTAGAACTAAGGAGAAATTTCCTGACAATTAGAACAATTAATCAGCATAACGACTTGCTTCCAGAAGTTGTGGGTGCTCCAACACTGGAAGTTTTTAAAAAGTTTTTTTTTTTAAGTTTTTAAAAAGGTTTCCGGCTTGAGGAGGGGTTTGGACTAGAAGACCCTTCCAACTCTATTATTCGGTTAGAGCTAGGAAGAATAGAACAGAACACAACAGGACAGTGATGGTGAACCTTTTAAAGACTGAGTGCCCAGACTGCAACCCAAAACCCACATGTATCGTCGGTGCTGGGTGGGTGTGGCCCATTGGGTGGGTGTGGCTGTGGTGGTAACAGCAGACTGGGTGGGACTAAAAAGTTCAATCAATCAATTCCAACTTTGCGAGATCTTTTATTTTCCCGTGAGAAGTTGAAATTGATTGATTGAACCTTTTTATTTTTGCACACGGCAGTGAACGAAAAGGGTTTATAAAATCCAGCTGAAGGCCTAGGACTGGGGTGACGGTGCGCATGCCAACAGAGAGGGCTCTGCGTGCCATAGGTTTGCCACCATGGGAATAGACTCTAGAAGGGACCTTGGAGGTCTTCTAGTCCAGCACCCCCCGACTTCTCAAACAGGAGAATGGAGGGAAGAGGAGAATGTTGCTTGGAAATCATTTGCAATTAACTTTCCTGCCACCTTTATTCTTCTGGCACGTGACCCCCAGGATAGCTGGTATGCATGGGACCATCTCCTCTGCCAGCAGAGGAAATGGATTTCACATTCTCCCATCAGTATGATCACCCATTGGCTGTCTTTCTTCCCTTCCCCTGGACCTCCTGGTTATGGCAAGACAAAGTCCTGTGCAGACCATGTGGCAAGGGCCCTTGTGTTTCCTTCAAGTATCATTGTGCCCTGGCTGGTGGGCAGAATCCCTTCAGAGTTGTTTCCTTGGCCCTGGCATGGCCCAAATTTTGATTCACAATGCATTCAGCCTGAGTTTTTGCCTAAACTTTGCATTCAGCAAGCCTGTTTTGTCCATTTGTTCTGTAGATATAGCATGAGCAGGATGAAGGGAATCTGGCTTGCATTCCAATTGTCCTAGGCTCTACATGTGGGAAGAGAAGTGTAGAGCGCCCTTCCTGGGCTTTATCTGTGAGTCACCCTCCTCAGGCATTTGTAAGGGCATCCCTATTTCTTCTAGCACCTGTTGTTTCTGTACGATAGAGGATGGCCTGACCTAATGAGGCTCCCTCCCCGTTACCTCTCCTCTCCTCCCCTTCCCTTTTAGAGTCTTTTCCTCCTAACAGCTCCATCCCACAGCAGTGTGTATTGAATCATAGCTGGCAAGCAGTGTGTGCTTCCCCTGCTCTGGGAAGGGAGTTTTTTTCCCCAGCTGGCTGCAGCCAATACAAAAGTTGTGAGCTTCTGTCAACTCCCAGAGGCTCAAGAGGTAAGTGAGACAAGTGCTAAGTAGGAAATGTATAATCTGGAAGCGGAAGACCAAGCTGTACATGGGGAGAGGATCATAAGCAGAGATGTGAGATGCGACTGTTTTCTATTGAATGAAAATAGCAGAGGCCAGACTGAATTATGACCCTTGCAAAATTAACGTGTCGGATGATAATTGTGTTTACAGCAGCCACATTCTGCTTCATTGACCAAGCCAATAACTACCAGCTGTCCATGGACTATGGCTGGTAGTAGAATAAAGGTTGGGTTGTAACATTAAAGAGTTGGAAACTGCCATCTTACAATTTTATGGAGCTTTCCAAAAATCAATTAGATCTCTTATTAATGTGGAATAATGAACAATCACTAGAATAATGATGTGTCTGCATAATTACTGGAATAGTGCTGTGTTAGTAGTATGTGACTAACCTAATGCGCATTGCACTTAGATACAATGTATGTAGCAAACTCTCCATTGTATACCCCTGAGAAACGAACCTAATGTATTACAATGTGTATTCCTTTGTTCCTGAGAAAAGGAAAGTATAAAACTGAAGTCTGAACCCGCCCTCAGGGTTCAGAATTGCTTGTTGCTATTGCTTCTGAACCTGCGCAATAAATCTCTCTGCTAAAACCCTCTGGAATTCGTACGAGTCCTTTCGTTTTCCACAAGATTATGAAATCCTATGAACCGGATATTCAAGATTTGCCTTGTCATGTAAGTTCTACAGCAACTAGTGCCATGAGAATTATAATTTTCTGATCACTCTTGGACTTCCTTTGCCTGGGAAAGTGGGGTCTAGGCCTATTTCTATAGTACAGGGGTTCTAAAGTCAAATATTTTTTTTAGGTATGATGAGCAGAATAACACACAATATTCCAAGTACGGGTATGATTGTACAGTTTATAGGACAGCTACTACAAACAACTAATAGCAGCAGCTATTAAGACAATAAGGAAACATAGTTTAGCATTTTGACACTTGTCTTTCTTCTGCTCTCACTTCCAGGCAGCCATGTTGAAGCTGAAGAAGACTGACATTCTGGTGATCTTAGTAATTCAGGTAGCAGTTCTCCTCTGTTTCATTTTTCAGCTTCAGCACACTCCCCAGGAAAAGTCAACCCAGAAGCATGTCCTCATCCTCTCCTCTTGGAGGTCTGGATCATCCTTTGTAGGGCAGCTCTTCAGTCAGCATCCCAGTGTTTTCTACCTGATGGAACCAGCCTGGCATGTGTGGGCAGCTATGTACCAAAACAGCGCCAAGGTCTTGCACATGGCAGTGCGGGACCTTATTTGGTCAGTCTTCAAGTGTGACATGTCCGTCTTTGATGCCTATATGAATGAGCATAAGAATAAGTCTGCGCTCTTTCAGTGGGAGACCAGCCGGGCTTTGTGTTCTCCCCCTGCATGTGACTTTTTCCAACGCAGTGACATCATCTCCAAACACTCCTGCAAGACACTCTGTGGAAATTATCCATTCAGCAAAGTGGAAGAGGCTTGTAAGACATACAGCCATGTTGTCTTAAAGGAAGTCCGTTTCCTCAACATCAAGGTGCTTTATCCTCTCCTCACTGACCCCTCCCTGGACCTCAGAATCATCCACCTGGTCCGTGATCCCAGGGCTGTTTTCCATTCCCGTGAGAATGTACCAAATGAACTTGCCCGTGACACAAAGATTGTGGTGAGGCATAATAATATGAAGGGCATGAAGCCCTATGCCGCCATGAAGGCAATTTGCAAAAGCCACATTGACATATACATTGAGATCAAGCAGTCCCTCAAAGATCGCTATCTCTTGGTGCGCTACGAGGATATTGTTAAGACCCCCCTGGCAAGAGCTGCTCAGCTGTATCAGTTTGCAGGGCTTCCTTTCCTTCCCAGTCTTCAGTCCTGGGTGCAGCACATCACACATGGCCAAGGCCTCGGTACCAAGGTCTTTGATACTGACGCCAGAGATGCAATGAATGTGTCACAGGCTTGGAGAAAGACTCTTCCTTATCTCCAAACAGCAATGTTACAAAATATCTGCAAGGAAGCTATGAAACTTTTGGGTTACCGGTTTGCAAGATCTGAGGATGAACAAAAGAACATGGCATTTGATCTCTTGACCAAGTCGAATATAAAAACTGCCTGGCCAGCTTCCAGCAGCTCAAAGCATTACAGCTAGACTGCCCCAGGAAGCTGCAGCCTGTGTAGTAGATGGATCCCAACATGAAAGAATGAGGGAACACCTGGGATTTGCCCTGAGAGCAATGTTGCTAAGGAAGCAAAAGCACCCCAAAACCTTCCGGAAGTGCTACGCTTTTATAGTTGTCCCATCAGTTCACAAGCTGCACTCAGTCTACAATCTGGTTGACAGCTGCAATGCTTTCCATGGCCATGGATCTGTTCCCTTAACCTGGATTCGGGCCCTGCTTTATTGTAGATAATGTGGTCTGTACTTTTTTTTTAAAAAATATAGCTTCTTGCCTAATATTCAGAATATTTCTGTCAATTAACTGAGAAACATGGCTGTAACAAAATATCTATGTCTGTTCTGTAAAACTTTGTCAGATACATGTTGACCATTCAAGAACAGCTGCAATCCTAATTAACAGTAAATAGCTTACTATGCAAATAAAAATTGGAAAAAACAAACAAACAAAAAGAACTGCCCCTACTGCAGCAGCTTTGGTGATTTTCACTCCTGGCATGAACTTGCCCTGAACAACACACGTTTATTTACATTCCCTATTCCATACTTTGTTTCTAAGTTATTCCTGGCTCCCTCTCGGCCTTTCAGCAAGTCCTCATCGTCCTGTCTGTTCCAAAAAGGATGCCCGTCTGGACGCCGCCCGGTCCGCAAGCAGCTGGCTACGGCTGCCACTTCTCCGCTGTTCTTCAGAAAAGCCTGAGTGACCGTGGCCAGGTCCACGCCGAACTCCCCCATCAGGCGCTTCATGTCCTTGACCGCCAGGGCCAAGGCGGCCGACGGAGGCTCTGGGCGCCCCTCCGACTCCGGAGAACGGCGGCTGGGGCGCACGACACTGACTTCACAGATCTCCACCGTCCTCGGGGCGGCCGGGGGGGCTCGCGACTCTCTCGAATTTCCAAGGCCCGGGGGCCCAGGGACCCCGGGCTTCGCCCAGCCCGATGGCTCGCCATCTTCCTGGAAGGAAAGCAATTCAGAGCACGGCAGTCAGTCGCTGGGAGATTCAAAGGCGCTGCGAGGAAGAGGGGAAGCGCAGCGAAGGCTCCTCGGAGGCGGGGGCAGCAGAAAACCGGATTCAGAAGTTGCAGTTTCTCTTCAATTTTGGCCCACCCGAGGCGCCCTTGGACGGCCAGGCAGCCTTGATGGCTCCGCTGACCATCGGGGGCCCCGAAAGGCCCGCCCGCCTCCTCCACGCGCGGGGCCCGAATTACCTGCTCTAACTCCCGGATGGCTCGCGGGAAAAGCGCGGGCACCCTCGGCCCCTCCATCGGCGCTCTCCCGGAGGCAGGCCCCGAGGCCGGAGGGAAGGGCCGCTTCCCGGCTACTTCGGGGTCTTTCTTTGCGGGCGCCGGCGTGGAAGGGAAACCGCCGCAACTTCGCCCGGAACCTCGCAGCGCTCCCGGCGATCGTCGCCCTCCGGCCGGAAGGGTCGCCCCGCTGCGGCTGAACGCCCCGCCCACTCACGGCCCCGTCTGCCCGCCCACTTCTCGCTGGGCGGAAGTCCCTCTCGCGCTTCCGGCCGGTAAAGATGGCGACGGCTTCGAGCCTCTCCGGCTCGAGCGAGGTCGAGTCTCACATTAGCAAGAAGTGAGTGGCGCTTCGCCGGCCGCCCATGCTGGCCCTGGCGCGGCTGCTGTCGGAGGGCCACCCGCCTTGGGCTCGGCGGCTCTTGAGTGGCGGCTGCAGACAGCCGAGGTGGGTGGCTGAACGGCGGAAGGGACGGGGGGCGCGCGGCTGGACGGCGACAATAAAGTCCCTGGCTTTTCTCGCAGCGAACTGAAGCGGCGCCTGAAGGCCGAGAAGAAGGCGGCCGAGAAGGAGGCGAAGCAGCAGGAGCAGGGCGAGAAGGCTTCGTCGTGCCGGGCCGACGCCGCGGGCGCGGAGGAGGAGGAGAATCTTGACCCCAACGTGAGCGGGCGGGGAGCCTGCGGCCGCGCCTGCTTCTCCCCCCCCCCCGGCAACGGGACAGCCGAGCCTCCAGCGTGGTCGGCCTGGCTCGCCCGCCGCGCGTGGGCCCGGCCCTGGCGTTGCTCGGGGCAGGGAGGCCGGGAGCTTCTACTCGCGTTGATAGCGAGATCTTTTCTCTCCCCTCTAGCCTTTTCGTCTTTCAAAAGCCTTCTCTCGTTGTCTTGACAGCAATACTACAAGATCCGTAGTCAGGCCATTCAGCACTTGAAGGGTAGCTCCGAGGATCCCTACCCTCATAAGTTTCTCGTGGATCTCTCCCTGACAGACTTTATAGAGAAGTATACCTTCCTGCAAGCAGGGGATCAGCTAACCAACGTCACAGTAAGAGTGGCAGGTAACGGCTCACTTGGGATACTGGGAAGAAAGCAGTTTCAATGCGGATCTTGTTTCCTCCTCTCTCCTCCCCCCCCCTCAGATGCTGTAGTTGAGATTTGAGATAACATTCTGCTTCAAAGTAGTAACAAAAGAAAAACACCTATTAGTGTGTTTTCTGATGGAAAACCAGGAGGAACCACTTCAATCTTGGAAGCGGTCTCTTCCAACAGGAGCTTTTTTTTTTTATTGAAATTTTTTTAAAATTTTACAAAAACAAAACAATTTTCCCCCAAGCCTCCCCAACCCTCCCATTCCCTCCCCCGACCTTCCCAGAGCTGAATATAGGCTTAATTAAAATTTCTTCGAAAAATCTTAAAAAAGATATAAACCATAAATAAATCTAAATACTAATGTATTTAGAAATTAAGAAAATTATAAGATAATTAACAATAGTGTGTATATAAAAAACATAAATACAAAAAATAAATGTTTAGAAAAAAAGAATAAAGAAAAGGAAAAAAGAAGAAAGATAAAAAATATTAAATTTTAAATATAAGTTATTAAAAAGCTAAATAATATTTTTTTAAATCCAACTTGTGTTGTATAAAATCTATCCATTTTTTCCATACCGCAACATACTTCTCTTGCGATTGATCCTTCAAGAAAGCCGAAATCTTTGCCATTTCCGCCAAATAAGAAACTTTAAGAAACCACTCTTGCAAAGTAGGCAAAGATTCCTTCTTCCAACATTGCCCTACCTTGCGGCTGTAATTAAATTTAACATCAATGTAATCTCTTTGATATCACAATCAGTAACAATACCTAACAAAAACAATTGTTCCAACAGGAACTTTTATTAAGAAAAATTGATAGCAGGCATGATAGACAGGATCTGAGGGATCAATGTTTTAAAGTGTCCTGAAGCAGCCCCCACCCCGCAGTTCTTCCGGGTGATTCAGACCAGCAGATTTGTAGGTGTTAAATCCAGGAAAGATAACATCATTCCGGCTCCTCACACAGATCCTGGAGACCGCATCTTTTCACACACACCCTTTTCCTCACTAAGTTCAGAGGGGCGTAGGATGAAAGGCAAATGGTTACATTGTTATGGTTAGCAAACCCGAAAGCAAATCAACAAAAGGTTACTTTGTAGTGAATAGAGGAAGTGAAAGTAATAAAACCCCCTTGCATACCCCCTTCCTCCTTAGGAGTATGACAGGATCCAGGAGACAGTAAGAATTGGTTTTATATCAGAGAAGATAGGAAATATAACTGGATTCTGACAAGATGGCATGTTCTGTTAAGGCTCTTTTGGAATGGAAGAAGTGTGGTATAGCCATTAGGGTATGTTATTCTTTTCTAGGTCACTTTGCCAGATTGGCCCTTGATGGAGAATGCAGGGAATAATTTGCTGGGGGGGGGGGTTGCTCTTGTTCCTGGCTTCCTCATCTGTTATGGTGTGTTTTTTTGTGATCATATGACAACTCTTTTTGGTTCTGTTTTTGGAGGTCGTATCCATGCAAAACGTGCCTCTGGAGGAAAGTTGATATTTTATGATCTTCGTGGGGAGGGAGTTAAATTACAGGTGATGGCAAACTCCAGGTAAGCATTAATAACTTTTTTTTCCTGATTGTATATTTTAGTTTTGCTTTGGTGTGTACATTTGAGGATGAGAGCCAGTTTTAACTTCTACAAGGCACCAGGCTAAAGCTGGGAGACTGCGAGTTCTTATCCCACCTTTGGCACATAGCCAGCTGGGTGGCCTTGGGGGAATTTACACACACACATCCCTAGGAAGAAGGCAGTAGCAAGCCACTTCTAAAAATATTGCCAAGAAAAAGAAGGTAGTTGTCCAGGAGTCAACAGTGTTTTAAATGTCTCCCTCTATCCAAACTTTTGAGGAAAGATAGAAAGAATATGAAAATAAAACCATGGTCTGATAAGTGGTCCAAGATTGCATTAAGTAATAGTGTCTCAAATATGTACTTTCTTTCCAGAAGAGGATTAAAGCAAAGTTAATCATATAACTTCTTGAAAATATTCTGATGTTTCTGCATGTTATTTTATCTATTTAAAAAGGGATGTGAGTTCAAACCCCACCCTTTGTTTTAAGAGCTAGGCTCAAAACATTTTGATAAGATTTTGAGCTCTTAGCGTTTTGAATATTGTGCTGATTTCCATTTTTTTAACTCAGAATATCTTAATATGTTAATATGTTCAGTAACATTCCAGTGTGCTTTATTGATTACACTAGGTAGGCAACTCAATATACTTGTGGCACAAGGGAGCAAAGTCCAAGGTATTACATAAAGAGAGGCTTATTTCTTACAACTTATTTCTCAAATTGTAAGATAAGATAACCTTTATTTTCATTTTTTTTTACTGTGGGCACAATGGAACACATCAAAAATGAAATGTAATTGCCTACTCTCAAAGTGAATGCATACATGACACACACCTAAACATCTTATATACAACATATGTATAGATCCACACCCCTACATATATATAACAAATATTATGTCTACCTGACTATTATTTATTTTAATGACTGTTTGCTATCTCTGGAATCCCTGGGAGTATATCTTAAATGTCAGTTGTTGCAGAGCAGTAGTAGAAGAGGGATATTGTCTTGCTGTCCAAGCTTGTGAGTTTCCCAAATCCATCAAATTGTGTGATATAGAATGTTGCACTAGATGACTTGGCTTGATCCAATGTGTATCTAAACAAGTTCTTATGGCATGGCAATCAGCAAATAGTGCCTCATTAAAATAGTTGTATGCAGGTAAATTTATAGAACAAAATTCAGATCTTGTAACTAAGTCTGAGATTGGAATGAATTCAATTTTTTTGCTAGGCTTGGTATGTAAATACTTTTTTTACTATTGATGAATCAATTTGGAAAAAAAAATCTTTATAGAAGTTTTCCCCTTGCAGTGTAGAATAGAGTGGATTGTGACTACTTCATTGATAAGACCGAAAAGATTTACCTAGAAATGTTTTTTGAATTTTAAAAATTCTTTTAGAAACTACAAATCTGAAGAAGAATATATGTGTATTAACAACAAGCTTCGCCGTGGAGATATCATTGGGGTCCAGGGGAATCCTGGAAAGACTAAGAAAGGGGAATTGAGCATTATTCCTTATGAAATTGTTCTGCTGTCACCGTGCCTACACATGCTCCCTCATCTTCATTTTGGGCTCAAAGACAAGGTATCAGACATGCTGCTGCTTTCTTGGCAACTTGTTTGATAGCCTCCAAGAGTGTCTCCTTGCTGTATTTTATTATCTTCATTTTAATTTATTTTTAGGAAACCAGATTTAGGCAGAGATACCTGGATTTAATGCTTAATAATTTTGTAAGGCAAAAATTCATAATTCGAGCAAAAATCATAACATACCTTCGAAACTTCCTGGATGAATTGGGCTTCTTGGAGGTGGGTGTTTGTTTTTAAATGTTAAAAATGCTGTACAGTAATTGCTTGCAGATATCTCAAAGATTAATCCTTTATAGCAATTTATCTTGAGTTGTTAAGCTTAAATTATAGAGCAAAGACACCAAATACATATAAATTGTCAAAATAAAAATACATTTATAAGAGGCCAGGCAGGGATGTTATAGAAGAGATTGTGGTTGGGTAAATGATCTTCCAGGTCTTCTGACATAGCTTGTTGAGGATGGTCATCATGCTTCAGTACCACTGTTTGGTTCAGAAGATACCATGTTTCCTGTATGGCCATATATTAGAGGTAGAGGCTATGGCAGCAGCAAAGTGGTAATTTAGAGAAGCAGAGAAAAGGCATTCCTTCCTGCAAACATCAGTAGTAGCAATGGGAAACTGCCAGTCTCTGTGCCCAAGAGACAGCATATAGCCTTCCTGATAGAGAACTGTTTGAATATCTCTGAATAACTTCCCTTCCACCAGTTTCGTCTGGCTGTTGAGTACCTGGATGAAGTGCCAAGGGTCAGGTGCCTTCCTTTAACAGTTCATTGGGCTGTGAGACAGATCACTCTCTATAATACAACACAGAATGTTCTGAATTGCAAAGTAGTAGTGGCTAAAATTACACAATTCTAATTTTACACAGTTCTTTTAAGCAGAGAATCTTAAGGCTTGTGTTTTCAGTCATGCTATGTTAGTTAGAT